CAGCGTTTTGATCTTCATAGGGGTTGGACTCAATGCCTCTTTGATTGATCATGTAGCCTAAAAATTTCCCTAAAACAACTCCAAATGCGCATTTAAGGGGATTAAGTCCCATTCTATACCTTCACTGTATTCGAAAGGTTTCATCAAAGTGTTTGACATGAACTTCAACTTCAAGTTTTTTACCAACATGTCAGCCACATATACCTCCATTGTCCTTCTAATGAGATCCAGGAACATTTTATTAACAAATCTCTGATAAATGGGATGGCATTTTTCAGCCTAAAGGGCATCCACCTTATAGCAACATAGACCTTTATGCATTATAAATTATGTATTCTCTTTGTCCTCCGGATGTATTAGGATCTGATTATAGCCTAAATAAGCGTCCATGAAGTTCAATAATGCATGCCCAGCAGTGGAATCAACGAGTTGGTCTATTCATGAAAGTGGAAAACTATCCTAAGGATAGACTTGATTAAGATTGAAAAAATCTATGCATATTCCACTTTCCGTTGTGTTTCTTGACAAGGACATGGTTTGACACCCACTTTGGATAAATTGATTCTTGGATGAAGTGATTGTCAAACAATTTCTTTACTTCATTCTTTAACACCTCATACCTTTTCGGGTTGGGGGCCCTCATTTTTTGCCTGTGAAGGGTAGATTTAGGATCAATTTTTAAATAGTGAGAACTTATTTTAGAGTTAATGCCAACCATGTCCTCGCATTTCGATGCAAAAATATCCAATTTGTCATGCAAGAAACACTTCAACTTTTCTTTAGCATTTGCTGGCGAGTTTTTTCAACTTGCAATGATTTGAAGAAGTCCCGAGAATCCACCGTGAAGCTCTCTAGTCCCTTAGTTGGGCCATTTGACATTCGTAATCAGTTATACGGGGATTCAGTTCATCAATATTAGCTACTTATTCAATAGCTCTCCCTTATTCAGTGGCTCATTTTATTTCAAGAACTCCCTCTTCTGCAGACGCATCTATTATCTCGACGTCCTCCCATTGTTCAAAGTTTTACCCTTGTGCCGTCCATGCCAACGTCCATTAGAATTACATTGACATCTCTTTATTCGAATTTACTTATGGAGTTTGAGTAGCATTCTCTTACACTCATTCGATCTCTTTGATGAGCAGTTGATAATGTCATCCCTATTTCTATTGCTAGAGAAATTTTTCTTCTTGGGACGATGTTGTCTCTAGTGAAACTGTACAAAGGGGAGTTCATTGAGGTCAGCTCACGATCAACTTCCATTTTATCAAAGTTTGTTTCAAATATAATGTTGATCGAGCTTCCGTTGTCCACCAACATTCTTTCGAGGCAATTCGAGCCATGACGACTCTTATAACATAAGGTGTTTTGAGCCATTTCGTTCTTATTTCTAGATTCAGCACTTTGTCCTCTGTCCCTCCCCATGTGAGGAAACCTTTGATTTGGTCCTTTTTAATGTGTTTCAATGCAAGGGTTCACTTCCTCGAATGCCAAGGTAGATACTGTATTTAGTGTTGCTATAGCCAGTGCTTGTCCAGGATTGAGGGAGGTCAACTGTCTAACTTGGTGATCCATCGAGTGGGACGTGGGAACCCTTCCTCATTGCATTTGAGGAAGTGGGAGTCTTCAATGGCCCTATTTCAACGATCTTTCAATTCTTCATTGATAATCTCATGCCTTATCATTTCCATTAAGGTGTCATAGCTGGTAGGGTCCTTATTTTGTACATCTCTCCATAAGAGAGAATTCATATACAATCCTCCACTTAGGGATGACAGTGTCTCCTGGTAACTTTCATGCAATATGTCATTTTATCAGTGAAACGAGATAAGAAGTTTTTCAGTGACTCTCCCTATTATTGCCTCATGACTTGCATGAGCTGTATTGGCCTTCGCTTTCTTTACTAGTAGTGAAGTTTTTAAGGAAAGCCTTCTTGAAGTCTGGCCAACTTCAAATGCTTCCTTCCAAAAACCTAGTATACCATACTTTAGCTGTTCCACTTAGGGTCAAATGGAAGGCTTTACATTTCACAGTGGAAGTGGAGCTCGTTGGCCTTATATGGGTTTTGAAGCTATTAAGGTGTTTCATAGTATCACACATTCCATCATATTTGGGAATCTTTGAAAGCACAAAGTGACTTGAGATTGGGGCGTCTCTAGTCCCTTTGAAGAATGGTAGGTTATTATCATCATCATCAAGGTTACAAGACCATTGTGGTTCGTAAGAGTCTTCATCTTCTTTGACTTGAGCTTCCCGAGGTGGTTGAGATGTCCAGCTTGGTTTCTTGCCCGTTTTACTCTCCTTTCACGCCTATTTCTAGGTGGAAGATTATGAAACATGTTGTCATAAATCACTGTAGCCTATCTCTAAATGCATGAGGTTGCGCCTGCCTATTTCTAGGCAATCCGGGGTCAGCTTGTCAAAAACATTTTCGAACCTCTGAGGCATGTCTTCTAGGTCATAGCTTGGAGAAAGGTTAAATGGGACCTTGTTAGGTAGATCAGTAGCATAGTTGGTGGATGTATCAACCCCAATTTTTCTTTCCTGGGGGCTTGCTCTCTCGTGTAGTGTTGATAATTAGTAATTTGGTTTTGATCCTTCTCTTCACCATGGTAGTAATTTCCTTATGATGGTTTGTGTAGGAATGCATTTCCTTGAGCTGCATACAGGAAATCCCTGACCTTGTATGCTCCTTAGCAGCTCATGCACAACAATGTTTTGCTGAGTTATGGCGTGTTTGTGGCCATGATGGCAACTTTCTTGGTAAGTCTGGTAGCAATTCTAGACCCATCTCGTCTATTTGGCTGGTGAAATCGATAGCGAGTCAATAGAGCAGTACGAGTGGGTTCTCATTATTCTGAGTGTTCCCTAGTCCCATGTGGTGCAGACTTTCCATTATTTGAACTCATGGTAATGCTTCTTTTCAGTTGCTTAGGCTCCTTAACATTGAGCGACATTCTTTTCTCCAAGGAATGTACTTGACTTTAAAAATAATGACCATTTTTGGAGTTCTTGGTGATTCTTTTTTCAAAACACCTCATTTTCTTCAAAGGCAAGAAATTTTTCCCATAGTTTTTATACGAGCCTTTTCTCCACTGGGTTTTCGTGGTTTAATGTGTGGTTTTCCACAGATGGTACCAATTATTGACCCCATTTTTCATAGTGATCACGTTATAATAGATGTAGGTACAATCACATCCACGCAAGCAAATTTCAATACGTTTTGATCGAAGATTCAGACAGAGAGAGGTAACTGTTTATGGACGTAGGAGATGCTTTATGACGTAATATGAAAACATTCAAGCACCGACAGTATGATCGAAGATAATTGCAAACAAAGTCACAAATAATTCCACCAAACGAGATTAATCTAAATTCGAGCACATACATATGAAATAAGCAAGAGAGAAGTTTGAGTGTGGTTTCAATTATAAAAAGTTGCATCCTTTCAAATGTTACAAGAGTTGTTATTTATAGAGTTTGAGCTGACGTGGTAGCCACCAAGTGGCCTCATTTCATTGACTGAGGCCTCACATCACATCCTACCATACATTTAATACATTGACAACGGGTCAACCGCCTAGCCCCTAAGCTGACAACTTAAACATTCATTAATATAAGTATTACATTAATCATTCATAGAGATACTCTGTAGATTCTTTTGAAAGGTAGCAGGTGCTTTGACTCAAAAGAGGGCTTCGAAACAATGAGATAGTGCTTCGATAGAAGGGCTTCATGTTGACCACTTGGGTCCTCATTGACTGTCAGATGTCTCCACATGGTTCCACCCTCGTGGCCCTCACTAGGAGCTTCAAATTTATGAGGTGCAACAATTATTTCATTGAAAAATGTACAATAAAAAATAATAGAGAAAAAATGTATTTTGAAATTAATGGAGTCCAAACAGAGACTTTTAACCACACATTTCACTAAAATTCACTATTACAAAATCCATTTTAAACGAAAAAAATAAAAAGGAAAATGAACAGAGACTCAAACACATCCTTATTCCAAATATCATGTATAGAGTGTGTATATAAATGTGCCATATTACATCCTTTACCTACTATCTGTATCCCACTGCTAAATTTTGGGTAGCAATTAGATGCTTGTGTTTTTTGTTAGGTAAACAGTGGTTCTTTCAAACAAGTCATAAATCATGAAGCGTCATAGTTTCGATTAATGAAAATGAACATCTAATTAGGCTATCAAGTAGACAAATATGCGCACTACATCTACATGTTGGTTAGTCTAATGCGATTTTCAATCTCTTTTCTTCTTTTTACCTTTTTAACTGTGAAAAATATTTATTTATTTTTCAATTGGTCAATCAATTAGGAGTAGGAGTTAAATTACATGGATCAAAATTGAGGGTATTATAATAACTTGATGAATCGTATAAAGGACTTTCAAAATGTATATATATATAACATGGACTCGTGAGTATATCATAAATCTTGTAAACCCTTCATGATTTAATGCATGCAAAGCTCTACGGTGGACCTCAACACCAAGTGAAGTCAATTTTATTGAACCACTACGAACTCTAATTTCTGTTGTTTACTTGTTACTTTGACATTAGGTTTCTCTATTAAATATTAGTAGGGCTCACACCATACAAACACCATTATTGATCGCATATATTTTAATATGACTTCTTTTAGACCATTGGTTCAATTTGTGGCCCATATTTTATCGCACGCAAAATTTTTCGGTCACATTGTACACAAGCCAAAGGGAAAGAAAGAAAATTTGGACATAGACAAATGAGGTTGGGTTAAGCTGTTTGTACAGCCCACATGAGGGTGCCCCGCGCTGTACGCCAATGAAGTTTTTCTTTCCTTTGGACTTATGACACAAGCCTTACATGGACACTGACATCATCATTGCATGTCTCAAACAAATGTCCTAGATTTTTTTCATCTAGAGGATATCTACCCCCTCGCTACCCCCCACCTTTTCGACCTCTACATACATTACAATAATTGCAACCAAGAATAAAAACAACAGCTTTATATACCAACCAAGTAAAAAGTTTCCTCCATAATTGTCCAATCTTGAGCATAAACTCTAAATAATTTCTCATTCATGGAGTCTCATATTGCCATTTTCCCAACTCCAGGAATGGGCCATCTCATCCCACTAGTAGAATTTGCCAAAAAACTTGTTCAGAAACACAATTTTATGGTAAATTTCATCATCCCAAAATTCCCAACTGATGGGCCTCTCTCAAATGCACCAAAATCCTTTTTCGAAAATCTCACACCTCGTATAGACTATGTTGTTCTTCCCCCTGCCAATTTGGATGATTTGTCCGAGGATGTTAAGATTGAAACTCGTATTGGTCTCACTATTGCACATTCCCTTTCATCCCTTCGTGATGCTGTTAAATCATTGATTTCGACTAAAAAGTTTGTGGCTTTTGTGGTTGATTTGTTTGGGACTGATGCATTTGGTGTTGCCAATGAATTCAAGATTCCTCCATATATTTTCTTTCCCTCTACGGCCATGTGTTTGTCACTTTTCTTAAACTTGTCGAAGCTAGATGAATCTGTGTCGTGTGAGTATAGAGACATGTCTGAGAAGGTTCGGATCCCCGGTTGCATGCCGATTCATGGGTCGGATCTTTTGCAACCGGTTCAGGACAGGAAAAATGATGCATACAAATGGGTTCTTCATCAATCAAAGAGATACAGAATGGCAGAAGGGATTGTTTTGAACAGTTTCAAGGAATTGGAGCCAGGTACCATTGAGTATTTGCAAGAACCAGAAACTGGTAAGCCTTCTGTTTATTGCATAGGACCCTTGATTCGAATGGGCTCAGAATCTGAAAACAATGAAGAATCTGCGTGTTCGAAATGGCTGGATGAACAGCCAAGTGGCTCAGTTTTGTATATATGTTTTGGGAGTGTTGGGACCCTGTCCCATGAACAGATAACTGAAATTGCGTTCGGATTAGAGATGAGTGAACAAAGGTTTTTGTGGGTTCTTAGATCTCCAAGTAATACAACTGCCAATGCTACATATTTCAGTATTCAAAATTCTTGTGATCCTTTGGCTTATTTGCCACAAGGGTTCTTGGATAGGAACAAGGGACGTGGACTAGTGGTGCCTTCATGGGCACCACAGGCACAAATTCTTAGCCACGGTTCAACCGGTGGTTTTTTGTCACACTGTGGTTGGAATTCAACTCTTGAGAGTGTTGTTAATGGTGTACCATTAATTGCTTGGCCACTCTATGCAGAACAAAGAATGAACACAGTGATGTTGACTGAGGACATGAAAGTAGCCTTAAGGCCAAAATTCAATGATAATGGTCTGGTGACGAGATTTGAAATTGTGAAAATTGTGAAGACTTTGATGGAAGGAGAAGAAGGAAAAGAGATTCAGAGTCGAATGAGAGATCTTAAGGATGCAGCTGCAAAAGTTCTTAGCGACAATGGATCTTCAACAAAGTCACTCGCGGAAATGGTTACCAAGTGGAAAAGTGAAAGTAATGTATTCAGTAATTGAATTATGTTTCTTTATAATTGGGTAGGGCTTATTTGTGGGTTGTTAATCATGAACTAGAATTTTGTTTATTGTACTATCGTCTTTTTCTTTAGACTCCTTTTTCATAACAATTATGATACGATATGAAATTAAATGAATAAATTATGTAGTATGAAATGTGTTAGAATTGGGTTGTGACCTAAATTCTTGTCAATTCTTGATGAGTATTTGATTGAAAATACTGTAGGACGAGTATTAGGAATTGGTGGTAGACTTGAAGATGTTTTGAAGGAGTCCTTTGACTCCTATTCCATTCCAATTCTCCATTATTAGTTTTATCTATAGTATTGAAACTTCACCTCATATTAAACTCTTCATGTATTATATAGTTATAAATATGTGGTGTACTACACATTGTAATTGCCATGTTATCCAATTAATTATTGGTTCAAATAAATCATTTGTAAACTCTTTATTATTGATTATAGTGAATTCTTCATCTCCGTCAGTGATTTTTCTGGATTTGAGCTTCCACATAAATCTTGTTTTCTTTATAATCTATTATTTTCATATTGCTCTTATTTTCTCGTCTTTAATTATTTGGTCTAATTCTCAACAAAGTGGTATTAGAGCCAAGGTTTTGGCGATTCTTGAGAGGGCCAGATTGATTATTAAAGGAGGTTTGAACATGTTCGATTGTGTCAGGCATGTCAAGTACGAAATTTGAGTTCTACTTTTGCAACAAGATTTTTTGTTAAGGAAGAATTTTTGTTTGAATGCTGAAGGAGAAACAATGTAAGAATTGATTATAAATCTTGGAAGATTCGATGATCACTTTGGATGCAACTGCAGCTTATTGTTCAATAAATGGTAACTCGAGTAGAGTTGGTTGTGATTGGGTTGCTTGTGGTGATTCGAGCAATGATATTGAAGAATTTCCTAGTAGCTTACTTGAAGCTAGTTGTGATCTTTTTGAACATATTGCTTGTGATGATTCAAGCAGGTTTGACAATTCAAGTGGAGTTGGAAGTGTTTGTGGTGTTCGAGTAGATTTCGCAACTCGACTGGAGCTACTAATGAATAGAATGATTCAAGTAGTTTGGTGTACAAGGTAATTCAACTGGTAAGCAGGGTTTGAAATTTGTTCACAGTTTTTGAGTATGCCTAGAGGGGCATGGTGGAAGAAGTAGAGTAATTTGATGGAGTGTTTTTGTTCGAAAAATGTTGTTGGAGTTAAAAAGTTAAGTTTTATTCCTTGCAATGGAATTCATTTGGATGTGGAGTTTATTAGAATTGGGTTGTGATCCGAGTTCTTATTAAGTATTTGATTGGAAATACTATTGAAGGAGTGTTAGGAGTTGGTGGTAACTTTCAAAATGTCTTGAAGGAGTTCAAGGTAAATTGGACTCATATTTTATCCTAAATTGTGTTGGGACTTTATCTTATATTAAACTCTTCATGTATTAATTCTCCTAGTATATTAAGAGCTCTTTGATAATAAATATGTGATGTATAACAAATATCAAAATTGACTAATTGTCTAATTAGGTATTGGTTTAAAGAGAACTTTTGTAACTTCTTACTATTGATTATAGCGAATTCTTTGTCTCTATTTGCAGTTTTTTTTAATTTTGATTTTCATGTAAATCTTGTTTTCTTTGTGATCCATTATTTTCATATTACTCTTATTTTCTCGTCTTTAATTATTTGGCCCGATTTTCAACTAAAAGTTAGGTTAAATGGGCACATCCAAAAATTGGAACTCACGATCAAACAAGAGAGGAGAAAATGTAGTCAGATCCGACAATAAAGTGGTGAGAACTGAATGAATATGGAGTAGGTGGCCTATCCTAAACAAATTGATAATTTATGAAATGATTGTTTGTTTAGTAACTAAGGGATGATTATCATGTTAATCTTAGGAATGATTGATTCTTTAGTTTTATAATCATTTTAAGAGAACTTAATGGATAAAAAATGAATAATTCTAATGCTTCTTTTTTTTTTTTTTTTTTTTTTTTTTTTTATTCATGTATCAATCTCTTTCGAACTTAAATTTGAAAAGAGAAAATACTTGAAGATTTTCGACCAAATTTGATAGATTAGGTAGGTGCTAAATCAAGATCGCGGTATCTGTTCAATAAATGATGTATTTTAGGTACCGTGCCTTTCAAAAGCTCTCAAAAAAGTTATATCGGTGTCTCCAAAAGTTAAGTTTAATTAAAACCAACTATATTAATTTAATCTAAATATCGACATGTTAAGTAATAACTTATTCCTAATTTGTGAGTTCAATTTCGAATGTGTGTTCGGGTGTTTTCGGTTCCCTAATGAAAAAAGAGGGGGGGGGGGGGGGGGGGAAAAAAAAGGGGGGGGGGGGGTGGTGGAGATGGGATGGTGGGGACTTCTGATAATAATTTTGCACAATTAGAGTTCCACTCTACTGAAGATGAAAAAAGTACTGACCTGTCAACGATAAGCTCGAATAGACAATCCATGTTTTAAAAATCATGCTTTAGGGATGGCAACGAAGTAGATATGAGATGAGTCGATCATTCTCATTTCCATTCCGTATTATATATTTTGTCACCTTACCCTATCCCTATACCTGGATAAAGCGGACAGGGCCGGTTTGGGGAGGAGCGAGGTAGGTCCCCTGTCCCTTTTATTTTTTTGCCTTTAGTTTGTAAATATTATTACTTTTTATTTTTTCAATTCATTAAGAGCAACTCATATCCTCTTTAAAAATAATGATAAATCTATTATTTTTGTTGGATGAAAAACTTAAATTTGAAATTAACTTTAAACGTGACGGGTAGTAGGGTGGGAATTATATTTTTCGTACCTACATCGAGGCAATGACCCCTACCCCATTTACTGGAATAGAAGATGAGGCCATCGGGTATCAAATTGAGCGGATTTTTTTTTATCATCCCTATCGTGCTTAGAGTTACTATAATATTTTGACAGACAATAAAGAATAAAATTTTAAATGAATATCTCGATAAGTAAAAAAGAATAAAATTTTAACTTTTTTAAGCGTACGATTACATAATCATTCAAATATTGATGATCAATTATTGCTTATTATTGAATCATTTGTCCTTTAATAGCTAATATTTAGACCTTTTTTTTTAACCCTATATGAGCTAATATTCTGTGGATGTCCATTCTTTATTATCATCGAAATTCAAATCTTTGAACAAAATGATTAAGATTATCATCTGTAATTGCTATCTGTTGTCTTTATTTGCAAAAGTATGATTTGGATTCTTTTCTACTCTTGTCGTATTTCGTCGACAAATTCTAATCGCACTACCTCAAGAAATATGTGACATTTGGTAAGGTTATAAAAGATTTTCTATAATCATCAATGACATTATTTTACAATGAATAATGTTAGTAATTAAGGTCGATTTAGGTTGCATTACATTCACTTAAATATAATGATGTATGATATATTTAATAGGACGTGTGATTTGATTTATTTGGTTTGCTATTAAGCACTACTGATATCAAGTATCAGTTTAGATGATAATTGTATAACATTAAATATTAGATCAATTTAAATGTAATATCACGTAATTTATTTAATTGAAAAATTCATATATGCCTCATTAAAATATAAAATTTCAAGAAAAATTTTAATATGTAATATACATTTAAATTACTGTTTTTTAAGTAAATTATAATTATAATTACTATCTTCCAAAATGATATCCAATTCACATTTTGTAACTGAAATTTTACAAGCAAGAGCAAACATAACGGTAGCAATTAATGTCCTTCTCCATCAACGTAAATTCAAATTGAATATGGGAACACACAATTTTCCATCTCACTATAAAGCCGAATGCACAGATTTTTCGTCCTCCGTATCTATCAAATATATTTCATATATTGATTTTGATGGGAGTTAGATTATATCTTTGGAATTATTTGGAATTTTTTTATATGTTCGATTTATGATCTCATGAAACTCAAGAAAACTACGTATATGTTATGTATTAAAAACTTGTGGGGTTTCTTATTTGGGTGATTTCATACCTCTTTTTAACCCTTTTGATTCAATCTTCACAAAATGTGTAAATCTTTATAAAATCTATTCTTTTTTTACCGACTGAATAATTTAGTTTTCAACATTTTTTTTAATTTTTTTTTTGGACTTATGATTCCATATGACATATTTTGATTATCACATTATATATATTAAAATTTTTGATGTGGATAATTGTTTAATATTACTATGGAAATTACAGAAATTTTATGAAATTGCGATTACATATGAAATCTTTCGAATATTGCTTGCCGTGTATGCGAATTTCTACCGTCTATCATTGAATAATATTTTAATGGGGTTTCAACGTAAATAAGATACTCTATATAAGTCAGCGACTGAGAGAATCTTTTATTTTGTTGTGGTTTCTCACTTTATGAATGAATACTCAAAATACTTGGAATGTGATTCAATTTATTATTATTAATTTTTTTTTTGGAACCTGTTTTTAGGTAGAAATAGACTCGTTGAATGTAATTGTGAAAAAGGGGTCATAAAGGTTTGGTCTTTTGGTTCCATATTCTTTCAAATACTTGGACATTGTTGAGTTGATCTCGAATGAATTAAAGATTAACAGGAGGTAATCATGTCTCAAGATTGAGTATGTTGCTAATATTGAAATGTCTCCGATTAGGATAACGAATGATAGCTCCCTAAAGTTCTACATGGAGCTAGAGCTCAAGGAAGCACGTCTCACTTCCTATGCATTACATGTCTGAAACATGCATTTTCAAATGAAATTGCATCATAACACAGCCAAGTTATGAGCATAGTGATGGGTACAAAATCACACGCATGGACTATGGTATTATGGGGGATTGTCAAATGGGGAAACAAGTGTATGCAGACTTGTGTATAGCATGAACACTTATCTGTTCCCCCCGTAACTCTAAAATACATAATGCTAATTTCATGAGCTGATACTCATGTAAAAAGACAATTGAATTCATTTGCAGCAAATCTTTTCTTTTTACATACCAAAATGAAACATTAGCAAAACATTTGAATTAGATAACCCTAACATAAATCGATATACTGCCTTCAACTAATCGTCCAAAATATGGCAAAAGATTTAAAATATTGTTAAACAAATACAAATTAAAATGTAGACTACCATTCAACTAATTGTCCAAAATAATTTAAATCTGTTCAAACAATACTACAGTATCACCATACCCTTCAACGTCTTGTCTCGCCTTACGTTGCGTGGTACTAAGTTGAAGTCCATATCATATGCTTCAATCAACTTCTTGCATCCATGTTTGAAAAGCTAACATGGGACATGTGATCTAGTTATGATTGGATTTATTGCCTGAACCATCAGATCAATTTTGCGTTTATGATATACTCAACAAACTTTATAACGTAAAGATTGCAATCGTGATTGAAACAGTGACAAATGTATGTTTACTTCAATGAAAATGTGTATCGTAAACAAGTGAATTACACATGGAATATGATGTGCAAATCCATAAACATGAATAAGTTTTTGATACGGTGTGGTTTCTTAAAAAATTATAATGAGATGACGGGAACCTTTTTTTTTTCATAATGCCATACCCGTATGCCACCAGTAATCTTCACAGCAAGAGGCTTGGCCATTCCAATTCGATCTTTGAAATGCATTAGATTTCTTGGTTGGATGAAGACTTGATATTCAGATAGAAGCAAAGGCAAGAATTGGGAATTTTGGCAATATCCACGCGTATGGGAAAGGCATGCTTGGTGGAGTAAATTTAGTTGCCATAATTAGTACTACTAGATGTTGTGTTGCTTTTAATAATTCAATTTTACTTATTATTTTATAGTAGTTAAGGCATAAAAAAAGTATTATATGAATATTTTTCAATTACTAGGTAGTTGGTGCAATTTTCTCTTTATTTAATTGAACATATCAAATGTAATCACTCGTTGGCTCTTTATCTTAACACTTAATGTAGAAAGTACAATTTTTTAAATACTCTAACAGACTCTTTATCTTAACACTTAATTTCACTATTTCCAGAAAAATTAGGATCCATTTGATTGCAAGAATGAAATTTGAGCAGAAAGAATATGAATTCCACGGAATTGAATTGCCTAGAACAAGTTTGACTGAAAATTGTCAATTAAATATATTTGATTGATATAATTTTTCACATGAAAAATATTGAAATTTTGAATCTTTTGGTGTTCGTTTAGCCTTTTTTTTTTATTTATGAAAATGGTTAATTAAAGAGATCGAATTTGTTACAATTGTAGATATAATATATTTCCATTGCCAAAAAATAAAATAAAATAAATAATAATTGAAAATTGATTTCCCATCAAGACCACGGGAAATTAATTTCCACCAATTAAAGGAAAAGGGGTCACGTGAGGGGGGGGATAAATTCCAAGGGAAATTTTTACAATCAAACAGGCCAAAATGTGGAAAATGGGAAATCGGCCAAATCAAACAGGCCTTTAATTTTTTCCTATATTTTATTTTCATCACTTCCCTCCAAATTATTATATTATTTTCTTCTATAAAAAATTAAAATACTTTGTATGCATTTAATTATAGGAAGTGGGCTTGGCTCTCCTACATAGTATAATATTAAAAGGGTCAAAAAGTTATTAAAAACCACACATTTTTAGTTCTTACACAAGGTTTCCCCCCATCACATCAGGGACTTTAGTGACCTGGCTTTAATTGCGTGGGCGGATTCAGTAGTGGGCTGCACTTGGCTGCAGCCCACTGTCTTCCAACCCGGATACCAAAAAAAGGTTTGAATTGTAATTATTCAGCCACATTAGCCCACTAACAAATAAATTCAGTGGGCTAGCTCACTTTTAAAAAAAATTCTTTAATTTGTAGCCCACTAACCTATATAATTTTAGGCTCAAAATAATACCCATTCCATTAATCAAATAATTAATCCCCAATTCCCAAACATTTTCCATTCCCGTCATTTGCAAAATCAACTCACAGAAGTCCCAAAAATAAAAAATAAAAATCCCTATCTTCACTTTGCCGGTTTGCCCCTGCCCGTAGCTGCCGGCCGAACAGAATTGTCGATTGTCGACTGGCTCGACTCACTTTCGACCCGTGAGTGACGGACTCGCATAGCACAGTCGCACCAATTCGCCGCCTCAAGCCTGGCTACCGACAACTTGGGTTAGGTTTTAGGGTAAGTAATTTACTAATTAGTTTCTTGACTCTTGTTCAATTGTTTGTCTTTTAATTATGTGGGAACAAGAACAGTCAAACAGGGATGAGGGAACTGAAATTTTACTCACTTGATGGAATGAATGAATGATGGTGCTTATAGTCAATCATTTGAGGCTTTCAAGCAGTCGATAGGAATATTTAAGAAGATGATTTGAGCATATACCTGTGAAGCTGTGAATCTTGAAATTTCAAGCACAATTCCACCCTTTATTTCTTTATTATGTAGAGAGACTTCTCTTGCCCGTAGTTTATGGACTTGAAAAGTTCACAACCTGAATCTGATTACTTATTAATTTCAAATCAAATTGCATAGAGAACATAGAAAACGACTATTTAGAGTTCATATAGAAGAATTTCTTGGCATCCTTGCACTAGCTATAATTAATAGCTGACCTTGCTGTTGTGTAATAATTTTTACATTGAATTTTTTTATACTTTGATAGACTCAAGTTGTTCCTATTACAACAAAGAATGTTTATTTTCGAGACAGTCAGATCACCAAAACAACAAAATTTGATTTCCAGAAAGTAAATATGAAATAAATAATGAATAGCTTGGAGAAGAAGAAAAAATTGGTTTTCATAACTATCGCTAGTATGAAAGATTTGGTGGTGAAAAAGGGCTCCTAAATTTATTCGGGCTTTACTTTGGCAGTATGAATTCAACTTAAGTGTTCTTAGAAGAAAATAAAATGCATTGCACTTTTAAATAATATTTATATGGACAATGGAGTAATCAAGGAGGACAAGAATATATGTATTCATTCTCTTGTTTAACAAATGTAAAAGGGACAAAACTGTATTAGGATTATTGGAACATTGAACATTTTACCCTAATGGTTGAGTACATTACATAAAGCAACTCATATTTTCATCATGCTCCTGAAAATGGCTTTCAATCCTTTGTTGAGTTCTAAAATGGCTGGTTACAATTTCTTGAGTTGCTGCAGAACATCTTGTACTACCATAGCATAGTTCCTTTTTCTAGGTTCTGAAGGGCATATTCTAGTTACTCATTTGATGGATTTTTTTGTTTAATTGTAGGTGAAACATTTTGATTCTTTGAAGTACTGTGCTATTTGTTAAGAAGAGGGTTCAAACGTTGCCTTTACTAGTTGAGAAGGTTTAAGGTTGGTTCTCTGACTTTGAATAAAAAATCTCATTTCGTAGCAAACGATAAATTGGTTTTATAGTTATGGTTTTATCAATTTATATTTATGTCTTTATGGGATATTGAAGCATATTGATTTTTATGCTTTTAGATTTAATATGGAAGAAGATCGATCTTCAACCAAGAAAGGTAGAACCTTTTTGTCTTTCTTTTCAAAAAGTAACAAATCTCAAAATTCTCCAATTCCTACGGTGCCCATTCTTCCAATTTCATGCCCTGAAGTTGAACGGCCGTCATCTTCCAATCTTAATTTTGAACCATCTGATTCTATTGAATGGGACCTCGAAAAAAGAAAGCAAATATGTGAACATTCATTTTATGAACGCGATCAGATTAGGCGGACCTATCTAAATGTTGGACCTTATCAATCAAAACTTTTGGAGTATCAGAGCAAAGAATGTGGAAAGCAAAAACGTCGATTTCAGGAACGTTGGTATAATCAGTTTCCTTGGTTGGAATATTCGCCTTCAACACATAAGGCATATTGTTTTTACTGCTTCATTTTTCTCAATGGTAGTACTCCACCTAATATTTCATCATTGGTTACTGTTGAATTTGATAGTTGGAAGAGGGTTAACTAAGGAAGTAAATGTGCATTTCTTATTCATGTTGGTACAACATTGTCATCGTTTCATAATGGCTGTAAGAGAAGAGCTAAAGATTTAATGAAACCAACTCAACATATTGACAAGGTAATGCATTCTGTATCAAATGAGGAAAAACAGAAAAATCGTTTGCGTCTAAAGACCACTATTATGAGTGTTAAGTGGTTAGCTCTTCAAGGTTGTTCCTTTAGAGGCCATGACGAATCTCCATCTTCACTGAATCGTGGGAATTTTATTGAATTGGTGGATGCATTTGCAAAAATGAATATTAAAGTATGAAAAGTTGTGTTGAGTAATGCTCCCAAAAATGCTACATACACGTCTCCAGACATTTAAAAAGAAATTTTGAGCATTATGGCCAATAGAGTACGACAAGGAATTCGTACGGAATTTGGGGATGCAAAGTTTAGTATTCTTGTTGATGAAGCACGAGATGAATCTTCACGAGAACAAATGGCTATTATCCAGAGGTTTGTGAACAGTAATGGAATTTTGACAGAACCTTTTTTTGCAATTAAAAGTGTTATTGACACTACCTCATTAAATCTTAAGAATCAGATTTCTGATATTCTTGTTCGTTTCAACTTTCAAGTGCAAAACATGAGAGGCCAAGGGTATGATGGTGCTAATAATATGCGTGGTTCTTGGAATGGACTACAAGCAGTATTGCTTAAAGATTGTCCATATGCATACTATGTTAATTGTTTTGCCCATCGTTTACAATTCACATTAGTTTCTGCAGCTAAGGATGTCTCAGTTATTAATTCATTTTTTTCTTATTTGGACAATATTATTAATATGATTACATCATCTCTTTAGCGCATCAATGAGTTGAAAAGTACCCAAAGAAAAGAAATTGTGCATTTGTTAGAAATTGGAGAACAAGAGTTCGGAAGTGGTGCTAACCAGAATGGTAATTTGCAATGAGCAGGAAGTACTCGTTGGTCTTCTCATTACAGCTGTGTAAAGAGTTTGATTGATATGTATGCTGCAACTTGCAAGGTGCTTGAGTATCTTAGTGATCATTCTACAAGTACAAGATCTCGGTCCGAAGTTGGTGGTGTTTTCAAAATCATAACAACATTTGAATTTGTATTTATCTTGCATTTAATGCGTAGAATATTAGCAATTGCGGATGTTCTTTGTCAGTCCCTTCAAAAAAAAACTCAAGACATCTTAACTACTATGAGATTTGTCTGTACTACAAAAACTATCCTTCAAGCATTAAGAGAAGATGGCTGGGAAGAATTTCTTGAAGAGGTGAAATGTTTTTGCTCAAAAAATGATATACATGTACTTGACTTTGATGGTTCGTATATGGTTGGCCGTTTTCGTGGTCGTGATCGTGGTCGTGATTATCCTACCATTGAACATCATTACCACTTTGATATTTTCAATGCAACCATTGACTTTCAGATGATGGAGTTAGATACAAGATTTAATGAGACATCAATATAGCTCCTTTCTCTCAGTATAGCTTTGGATCCAAAAAATTCTTTTGAATCATTTAATATGGATAATATTTGCAAGCTTGCAGAGAAGTTTTATCCTGAAAATTTTAAACAGCAAGATATTTATTGTTTGAAAGTTGAGTTGCAACACTATCAGAATGATGTGATTTCTGAACCTCGATTTCACATACCTACACTTTCTGATTTATGTTGGGAATTGGTTGCAAGTAGAAGGTCGGAGAGTTACGTCATTTTGACTAAATTGATTTGTTTAGTACTGACACTACCTGTTTTAACGGCGACTGTGGAGCGAGCATTTTCAGCAATGAAACATGTGAAGACGGAAATTCGTAACAAAATGGAAGATGATTTTCTTGCTGATTGTATAACACAAAACATTGAACGAGAATTTAGTATGAGTTTATATCTAGATTCTATTATAGATGAATTTTATGCTGTAAAATATCGCCGAGTACGACTTCAATAGGTAACTTATATTATAAATTTTTCTTATTATATATAAATTTTATTTGTACATTAAATTTTTTAAATTTTTAGCCCATCGTAACACTAATTCCTGGCTCCGCCCCTGATTTTTGGTACATAATAATCAAGAAGATAGTACGCTTCTATAAATAAGATTTTAGTTTTTTCTTCTAAATTTTTTTTCTAGTGTTACAAAACATTAATTGTGTGTGTGTGTGTTCTTTTTTTTTTTTTTTTTTTAAACCTTGATTAATTGGAGCAAAATCACTTTTCTATAATTTAAACGTGACAAAATGAAATTAAGTGATTATTAGAAATTGAATCCAAGTTCATTGAATCAAATTTTTTGTCCCAAAAAGTGCAACATTCAGATTAAGACAAGATGAGCTTCGACTGTATAATTTCTTATACCAATAATCCAATAACATATTTTTTAATAACAAAACTGTATAATCATTAATAAAAAAAATTTCGTATATAATTATGTCTTTTTGAAACGGAAATTCCCACTTTTAAACATGGTCAAAATCATGGAATTTCTACAAGAAAAGTTGAGGGGCCCATCGGATAAATTTAAGCAGCTCATGCTCATGAGATACTTAGCCCTCGTTTGGCCCCCATTTTTTGGAAATGAAAATGGGGGAATAATATTTTTTTTTTTTAAAAAGAGTGATTGAAAAAGGGAAAAAAATTTCAATTTACATGTAATATTATTTTATGAAAAATTGTGTGGTTGAAAATAGGGGAGAAAAAATGAAATTTAATGAAATTTAATGTAATGAGAATCAATCGAGGGCTTACTGTTTGGCCTCCAATTAAATTTTAATACATTTCTTTCTTTCTTCTTTTCAATCATACATTTTTCAATAAAATAATATTATACGTAAATTAAAAAAATTTCTTATTTTTTAATCATACATTCTCCCAAAAAATACTATTCCATAATATATTTTATTCACCTTGTTTTTTGACACGTTCAACATGGTACTTGTTGAATGCATGCAACGTACGCCCATGCCAATTATTTATTCAAAAATATTCAGCTAGTTTTAAAAAAAGTAAGTTTTAATAAATATTTTTTTATTGATAAATGTCAGAAATTAATAAGTCACTTATTTTAAAAAGAGTTTAATTTAAACATAATTTCACTTAACATATTTGAATACAATACAAAATCTAGAAAAATCATATATTGAAAAGGTCTTTTAACTTGATTCTAGTTATTCCAATTGATGGTCTGGATTTTTTATTATTATTTGTTAACTCATGGGTTAGATCCTTTACATGGAAGTAAATGTATAAATGTTCAGCTTAAAACTTAAAAGTTGTTTCTGTAATTAAAAAATATTTTTAAAAATATTTGGATAATTTTTTAAAAGTATTTTGTTTGATTAGAAAAGCTTTCAAAAAAAAAGTTGCATTAAGATAACTGTTTTAGAAAGTCCTTCTATAGAAAGCGAAAATAGAAATTTTGTCACATGGAACCAATAGTTTTAGTTTTTATCTCATATTGTCCAATTAAATTATTATTACTCGAGTTGATGGGATCAAAAGTTGTCCATTATTGATCCCTATTTGATAACTATTGAAATGATTTTATTTTTTTTTCAATTACATATTCTCATAATAAAATAATTTGTACATAAAAAAAAAAAAAAAAAAAAATAATTTTAATGTGTGGTTGATAAGAAAAGAGAGAAAAATGAATTATAATTTTAATAAGGCCAAACAAGGGCTTAATACATTGATAGAAAAATAGATAAGTATTTTATGTACTTTTTTGTTTAATCTTGATAGTCATATGCAATCTCTCCTACGAAAAATATAGTGCGAGTGTGTTTGATTGATTTCATTTTGCATGAAAAATATCATTTTTTTTATTGAAGTTCCTACTTTTGGATTGTTTGATTAATATTTTTTTCATGAAAACTATTTTTCAATATTTTCTTAAAGAAGAAGAAAAAAATATTTTCTTTGAAGAGGGATAAGTTTTTATTCTCCAAGCAATTCACTCCCCTTTCTCATCTATCCCCCCTCTTTCATCTACCAACCAATAAGAGATGAACAAGCATGATATTCTTTAGGTTGAAAATTAAATCAATTAAACATGTGTAATTAATAACTTTCATGCAAATAAGTTAGACACAATTCAAATGTTTAGAACTTAGGATGTATTTGTTTGTGAGTATCGAATTTGTAGGGAAAGAAAATAAATTCTAGGCAATTCAATTGCATAGAAAATATTTGTATGGAAATTATTAATTAAATTCATTTGATTGATTTAATTTTCAATATAGAGAATATTATATTTGTCTATTTTTTATTGGTCAGTAGATGAGAGAGAATGATAGATGAGAGAGAGAAGAGAGAATGAATTACTTGGAAAATAAAAATTATCCCTCCATAAAGAAAATATTTTATTTGTTTTTGATGAAAATATGTTCATCTAACCAAAAGTTAAAATATATTTTCCATGAAAAAAATTGTCAATTAAACATCCCAAAGGTCAGAATTTAGGTTAGAAATAACATTTTTCATGAAAAATAAAATCAATCAAACACACTCACATTTTATTTTCATGCAAATTTTATACTTACTATCAAACATACCTTAAGTACATTTCTGGGGCACTATATTGGAAGCCGAACAGCATATACGATTCTCTTCCACCTCCTTTCTTGTTACGAGTGGAATAGAGGAAATTCCATCAAACGCCTATTTAAAATAAAATATTCAAATTTTACATTGCACAAATTCTATTTCTATATCTACTGTAAAAAGATTAGTATATTTGATATTCTGAAAGTCAATTAACTCCTTAATCGAATTCAAATTAACACCATAAATTGTCCTAAAGATGTATTTGCAGTATAATCTCATTTTATTATTGAGTGACATGTCAAAATCACATTTGAATTACAATTAAAATCCGCACTCCATCAATGAAGACACTTTTTGTTGATTGTTTGATTAAATTGAATTTTTGTATGTTTGAACTAGATAAAATTTAGTGCAACATAATAAATGAATACGTGTTCTCTTTCTTGAAATGTGAAATGTATCTAATCGTGCCATGTTCATTAAACTATTAAGACTACACATTTACGTGATTTAGTTCTATGAAGATTTCAAGATTAGTTTTCATTATCTTCCACATATGTGTTACATTAGGGATTGCATCATACCTCTGTATCGTGTTTTTGTTTAATGAATCTTATTCTATTTGAGTAGAATCTAATATTCCATTATCTGTTTTCTGAACATATCTTGCTATGTTTAATGGACGCTTAACATTACATAGTCACATAACATCTATCTGACAACAAAGGATATGCAGCAGCCAAATGCATTCAATAACTGTGGATCATCAATCCAGTCTTATGTGTTGTAATGTATATGCTCATTGGCCATTGCCGAAAGACAAACATTTTGTCAAACTTGTTCTTGGGTCGGCATTCATACGTGCAATAGTTACAAGCAAGAAATGGGAAGATTGTCGAATTCCATGCACTTTGTCAAATATAGACGTGGTTGGATCGTCAAAATATGCTAACCAGGTCTTATTATGTTTTTTGTTTAGTCAAAGGGGAAATACAGATGTAGTACTTTTCCAACTAGCAAAGTGCATTTTTGTAGAAAATTATGTTGCAAAATTTTTAAATTTTATGTTTCACGATAAGCCTTATTTCAGATGTCTTGCATTCCCTATCCTGTTAGAATGGAGAACTCTCTCTTCTCCTTCATTGACTATTGGGAAATTAATTTGTAAAATTCGGGGTTAGAAATCACTATAAGAGATTTGCATATCGAACTTGGTGATTAGTTATCTTTTTTCTTTAAAAACTGCCATTTATTATTCTGTGCAAATTTATAAACTATTTTATTTTTTATGTGATTGCTGCAGTTCCTACTACACTGTGAAAATTGAACTTTTTGTATATTAAGTTTCATCTACAGTTGCAGAATCCCCATTTGCAAAAGATACAACTCCCCATTTGGCAATTTGTAGCAACATGATTGGGTCGTTTACCTGATAAAGTTTGCCGAATATATAACAACTTTAAGGTAATATCTAGTTGCTCAACTATACAAGCATGGATGCGAGAAGTTAATTGAAGGCTATGAAACGGAGTTCAACCTTGTCCCACGAAGTGGGAGGAGGGAGAGGAAAATGAAGGGCGTTGTTAGTGAGTGACTACTGTTAATTTTAACTTGTTTTCTTTTGAATAGTTATTCAAAATGGCAGTGTCAATGGATGAACTTAATGTTTGAATTATGTCAAGTCAGTTCAGTAGATTACTTTTGGTAGGGTGTGATTAGGGCTGGACATGGTTCGGTTCGATTTTCGGACATGGTCCGATTCTAATGAGAACCGAACTGATCCGAAATTTTCAGGTATTTAGTAAGTAGAATCGTCGGATCCAAATTTAATTATTGAACTGTTCGGGTTCGGTTCCATTCGGTTCGGTTAGGTTTGGTCCGGTCCGGTCCGGTTCCATTCGGTTCTGTATTATAATTAAATTTTTTAATATATACAAAATTACGTTAATTTAATTAATGATATGTTTAATATTAGCCCTTACAAAATAACGTAGTTCAATCTTATGTGTTTCACGTCATTCTTTGTTGATTTCATCATAAATTTGATTATTAAAATCACAGAAAGAGAAAGATAGCTAGCTCAAAATAATGAAGAGAAATGTTGTAGAACTTTAATTCGATTTTTTCCGGTAGAAACGACACTACAGTAGAATAACAGATTTGGATAAAGTTGAGGTCAATTTGATTAAGTTGATTTTAAACTGAAAATTAAAAATAGGAAAATCACATTTTGTGGTTTGAACTAAATTAACTAGTTAACAAATTTATTTAGAAAAAATAAAATAATTTTACTTATTTAAAATAAATTAATTAAAAAAATTACGAAAATTCAGTTCTTATTCGATTATTCGGGTCTTGGCCTAGAACCGAACTATACCCGTCAGTTCTTGATTCAAATACCCGTTCGAATATTTAACTTGAGAAGAATTGTCGGGTTTGGTTCAATTCAGTTCGAGTTCGGTTCAGGAGTTTTGTCCAGCCCTAGGTGTGATATATTTTGTCGTGTGTGAAATGATAGTGTTTTAATAAATTTTAATGCCAGTACTGTTGTGGATTCATATTTTCTTCTCTAAATTTTTTAGTGTTTGAAATTAATAATAGTTGTAATTACTATTTATATTTACTTTTCATATCATGTTTGTTACAATCCAATTTTTCTTAGTCAAAAATCAAAAGTTGACTCGTCAAAGTCAAAATCGAATAAGGACTAAAGTGTAATAAAATATTTTATTTGGGTTATTTTATATATTGGCAATATATGAGAGTTAAGCCAATACAATTTAAAGTTGGGGATTTACTACTTTCTATTAATGGAAGTTAAAAGGATTAAATGTCATATTAAATTGAAGATGAGGGGCTTCCATGCAAATTTTTGATAGTGGATTACAAATGTCAACTTAACAATCCATTGTTCCATTTCACATTACATATATACACATATAGACGGCAGAAAGAACCAGAGAAACCGAGAGAGACCGAGGAAAGAAAAAAAAAAGAAAAAAAGAAAAGAAAAAAAAAAAGAAAGTGCTGGCGGCGATATGTAGGAGGCGAGATGTTTTTTTTTCAAGTATTGGGTTGTCTTTCATAGCCTCATTGTTTCTACAATCACAAGTAGGTAAGTTTTATACAAACTTAAATTTCTTATTTGGCTCCAATAAGTGATAAAGAAGTTCAAATTCTTGATGGTTTAGTATGGGTAAACCATTTTGAAGCTTTTAAGTTATGTGAATCAAATATTTACGAATTTTCGGGTTGGAGCTTTGTGAAAAAAAAAAAAAAAAATCAGTAATTAAATGGGGTTAAAATTGAAATTTAAATAAAGAAATCAAAAGGCAGGTGAGGATTTGAGTCAATTAATGAATTGTTTTGGCACATGTATATGTCTAGTGGTTGGAAGTATTAAGAAGGGAACATACCTAATTGCATAGCTTGATGTTAGTGTGGCAGTAGTAAACTGATGAAGAAGAGATGAATTGTGTTTAATTGGAATTCAATTTAGCCTGAATGTGGTATGTTCTTGATTTAGTAATTTTGATATTACAGAGCAAAATAAAAAGGGACAGTATTTATAGTGTAAATTCAAGATGTTGGAAGGTAGTATGTTATTGTGCCAATGTAGTGGGGAAATGAATGTGGAAAACATATTCTGTAAATAAATCGGTAAATGAGACTATGTTCTGCCATATGGAAATTAAAAAGGGAATAAAGCGATTTAATAAGGAATGGATTAAGTTGTATGTAGAGGTTGTATGTTTATAAAGTAGTGATTTAAGAAAGTACGGTAAATTAATGGATTTGATTATGTGGGATGATTGGTTGGTAAATAATCAAAGAGAAGTAAAGTTTGGAAAATGATAGTTTTCATGAAATACTCACATGAAAGGAAGATTTTATGGAACAAGATGTGTATTAAATGGGAGGAATTATGGTTATTAGTTTTCATTAGATTGGAAAGTATAATTATTTTATGTTTGGGATGAAAGTAATTTTGATAAATTAAAAATTAGTGAAGGAGTTAGTGAATAGAATTATCTCCAATTGATTAAAGAAAAATTGGGGAATTCATTCAAGTATCGAGAAATGGAGATTCAAGAGAAAATTTGAAAGTTGAGGAATTAAGTGGTGACTTTGCTTTAGTTTAATTGTCATATTTTAATTTGAGTCGTTATACAATTATTTCAGGTAGTGACGTGGAAGCTTGGAGATGCCCGTCAATTTAGCCAAGATTTTTATCCATAAATCAGTGAGTGGATACAAACTTTTTTTTTTTCAAAAATTAGTATTTATTAAATTTATATTATATTGAAAATTTATTATTTCATACAGTTAATTTGACAGCATGATCTTTAAAATAATGTGAATTTATAATCAGTTATTTTTAAAGTTAATTTCAGTTCAATTAAATTATTTTCTCAGCATGTTACATTTGTATTAAATAGTTCAGCATATTTAGAATTGTTTTCTAAAAACCACCAGAAAGTACCCAGGTGATTTTACCCCAGTTTGCACTGATGTGAATGTGTTTCCACAGTGTATGACTAGTTATAGTGATTTTACCCGCTCTGCACTATCGTGAATGTGTTTCCATAGTGTATGACCAGATTATCAGAGGTCTTTGGGACCCACTCTCGTACACACATAGGCTTTGGGCCGTGTACTAGGGTGATTAGCCTTTGGGGCAGCTCTGCGTACGTATGACCAGATTATCAGCGATCAGATTATCAGATTTGAATGGCTTTGGCTTGTACATTGAGATTACTCTGTACATGAGTAAGGCTATTCATTGGGTGCTCTTTTTGGTGTGATTTTTCAGTATTTATTCAATTCTCAGACTTCGGATTATGGAATTCAGTTAATTCAGTTTTCAGAATAAAGCTTTCAGCTTAAAGTATTGAGCAGCAGTAATATTTCATAGATTTTCATGAATATGAGATTCTTTATATTTGTTATACCTTACAGATACTTTTCTAGAATTTAGAACAAAGTATTTTATAATGTAATTATGTTTAGTTTTTAAAAGTATTACTAGATTCAGAAATTCTCAAGGATTTAATAAAGTTGAAATTTTTAGAAAATATGCATCAATGGAAAAAGTTTACTTATTTGCAAATCATCCACTCACTGAGTTACAATCTCATATTTTTATCACCATTTTTCTTAGCAGATGGTAGCTACGTTGAGCGACATTGGAGCCTATCGATCTGCGAGTCGAGCCACATGGTGTATTTATTGTATGTCTAGTCTTGTCAGTACATACATTATATATTTTTGGGATTGATGCATTTTTATCAGAAAATGTATTTATATCATGGGTTCGCTATATATTTTTATATATGTTTTGCAAATGGGGTTACCTGGTTCGAAAGGAGTGTAAATTTCTTTCCAGTACACTTATTTTGAACAGTTTGTATTTCGAGGGACTAGTGTGTCCTATTTTAAATTATATGTATGGATTTGAGAAAATTGATTTTTGTTTAGGCGGATTTAGTCCATATTTCAAAGTGAACTTTGTCAAAATTCTTTTAAAATATTTTTCGTTCAAGCAAGTCAAGGTTGCCTTGGTGGTGGGTCCAACATTTAGCTGGTATCTACCATCGGCACATGACACGTGTCGAGTCCATTAAGGTGATTCGGGACGGGTCGTGTCAATGTTAGTCTATCAGATTACATGTTAATTATGGTTTTTTAGCTCTTTCTAAAAGGCTAGAGTTCCTTAAATTCGGTAAGTTGTCTTCTCCATCAGCAAAATTTCAGCATAAGGCTGAGGAGAGGGATGAAGTCTAATGCAATGTGCCTTCTTCTAGCCTTCACATCTATGGACGAGTTAGTAGGATTTTTTCTCGAAAAACTATTGGATTTCTCTTAGGAAAATTTGCTAAGAATGGATAAGGGGTCCCATGAATTTGGCTCTTTTCATCTGGATTACCTATGTTGCCGTTTTTGGTGATATTCTGTTTATGGTTATGATTGAAATATTGAACCATGCCCTATCGAAGAAGTCACAATGAAATACTTAGTTTGAAGTAATCAAATTCTCAATGCATTGTTCACCCTCATGTTTACACCAATAGCCAAAACGAATATATCACCTAGAACTACTATTCAGATGTTTTAAAGTTTCGAACTGTATACTGTAAGATTAACTCCTATAAACCCCACGAGTGGGCACACATGATGGTGGTTGTGGTTCGACTCAACAGTTTTTCTCATTATATATTATGTAGTCTTAACTTGGGGATACAGGAGATTTGAGCGAACAGTTATTAAGGGTTGGAATATGAATTTCTGTTGCAATTGGTGCCCCTGCAATTCCTAGTCTACTTGGGAAAGACTATGAGACTGATTTAGATGAAGCAGCACAGCTTTCGATTACGACCGATGGAAATAACTTATTTAGATCAATTGAGATGACAATCATTTGAAAAATGATTTTCATTTGCATTAAGAGATGAAAGAAACATGCACCTAATCATATTCGTTCGATTTTAAACTAGTGTTGCATCCATATAATTAAAGGACCTGTGAAGCGATCATAAAATTTAAGGACTTGTAATTCGAGATAATATCAATATTTCAGTAACACTATAATCTGCCTATAAGGATACGATAACTGATTCTAATCGGATAAGTTGGTTCCACTGTGCCAAATAAAATTAATATTCTCAACTAATTCATCAACTTGATCAAAAACTAATAACAATACATGAAACATAGCATTTATAGAGGGGATAACTTTCAATAATAGCGAAATTTGTGATGTGCACTAGCCCAGTAATCTTCCTATGTAACATTCTAATCGGTAAATGAACATAAATGCACGAAAAACATCCAATTTACAATATGATCAATTACACAACATAGAATGTTATATTGATAGATCTGGCAATATAAATTAATAGTCGATGGTGGATGGATAATCAACATGGTAAAGGAGTGGAGTTATGCCTCAACTGGTCATATGAATCTCGTTTAAGCTTTCGTACATCAATCAGAAGCTGACGTTGCTTGCATGTTCTCCTACTGCGTCAAATACTCCTGCACCTTCCACATCTAGTTGATTCATTTCCATCCTTGACCTTTTCCTCGTCTTCTTTAGCCTGCTTGGTTGTCTCTTCGATCTAGGAGGGAAAATAACATCACGGCAACTATAATTATCTACTTTCCTTTGGGCACGATCTCCGAATGGTGTGATGTACCCAGCGGAAGAACCTACATAATAGTCATTCGTGATGTGTGTACTTTATAGTGTTAAATCTACATGGAAACCATCAGTTTATTGCTGAACAAGCATGGATAAGGTGTTTGGACTTTATAGTGTCTTACCAACAAGGAAAAATATCTGGTTATTCCTAGCATTAATTTCAAATTCAGCTAATTGTAAATATGAGTTCTGAAAGGCGATAATGGCAATATGGTGCCTAGCAGGGACAACAAAAGCGTCACCAACAGCTAAATCAGCACTAGTTTCTGGTAGTGGACATTTGTTGTTGTCCCAAGCCTTGTTGGCTTTGTCTTCCAGGATGAGGGCAAGCCATTTCATATCATCCGGTTCCTCCGACCATGAAGACAGTTCTAGTCGACATTGAATTATAGTGAGGTGCTATTGTTCCAACCTACAAACATATTCACAAAGCAAATTAACGAAATAACAAGAACAAAACTAATAGCAATGTTTTAATAAATGAAGATTGTTTGCTTACTTCGTTGAAATTCATGTAAGAAATTGACTTCATTGTTTAATCTGATTATTACTCCCTTTTCTGCTGTCTGAAAAGATTTTCGAGCTTGTCTCTGGGGGTCTGAAATGATCATAAACACTGTTATCCATATCCGAACATTCGGTTTTTGTTTGAATTTGAATCCCCACTTCTTCAGCAATTCAATCAATACCTTCCGTAATATTTGTTGTCAACTCTTTCAGTTACTGGACAAGAAATGGAAAGTTTTATGGTGCAATATAAAAAAATGTAAAATGGAATAAAAAGAATTTGTAATTTTTTTCTTTTTTTTTTTTTTTAAGTATCCTTCACAGTTTAATTACGAATGGATCGAAATGATCCTGTTTTGGTTATGCTTGTGTAAGAAGGCCTATAAAACTAGAGGAAATTAGGCCAATACTGCCCAAAATCACTAAAATTGAATGATACACTTAAAAAAAAAAAATTTCATTAATCTTTTTATTTAACGGTAAAACATACGTCCAAATGAATGAAAATTGTTAAAAGGATGGGCTGCCTCACTGTTTCTTTTTAATTGGGCCCTACTAATTGAAAGTAGGAGGAGGTCCAAAATTCTTAACATATTCTCGCGTTTTCTGGTTTCACGCTTTTGTGCCTCTTGTGGTTGGATGTGTGCCGTACACGTGGCACACCCCCAACCGTTAGATAAAGTCGGTCTAACTGATTTTGATATTTTCTTGGCTCTTGGTCGTCTAGGGTTTTAGTTGCACTCTCTCTAGAACTTTCTGTCTTTCTCTCTGTGTGACAGTCCGTTTGAGTTTTTCCTTTCTATGAAATGTAATTCTAAATTTGTGTGATTTTTTGAAAGTCCTTTGAGTAAGGATTGTAAAGTTTGAGTGATCTTTGTGATATTATTGAAAGGAAATCTGTGTGAAAAAAAGGCTAGAGAAAGTCGAAGAAATATCTAATTTCTTTGAACATTTTGTACTGTTCTTTATGAAAATTAGTGGAAACTCGAGCATATCTCTTGATTGAGGCTCAACGGGTGATTAGGTCCTTGGACTGAACATTCGAGCTCCATTTTGTAGCAAAATATATCTGGTGTTCAAATTTCGTTTATTCTATCTTTTATTCTGAAATCATTTTTTTGGTTCGTGAATAAACCTTTAAAACACAAGATTATATCAACTCTGGAACCAACAAGTGGTATTAGAGCGATTTTTAAAAGGATTTTTTCTAACTGTGTGTTGCAAAATCTTTTCTCGTTGTTGAACTTGCAAGATCTGGAGTTGTGCACATATTTTTGTAAAGAAAACTTTCTGGAATTTCTTTATAATTCTCGATTTACTTTCGATCGGTAAATGACCGGTCAGATCTGAAAGTGTCTTGAAGATCTTGCAAGATCTTGTTACTGATTTGTTGATCTTGGATAATCTTGTTACAAAATTATATAAGTCGACACTAACTCGCTTTGATCTGTTGTTTATGTACTCTGTTTTTGGGAAAATCGGTGAAATCTTGTACTGAGTCGGGTGAGCTGAGTTGACTCAACCCGAGTTTACACTGAGTTCTTGATTTACTTCTGAGTTCATATTGAGTCACTGCAACTCAGAGGGTTCTTGTGCTTGACCCAGAGTTCTAGTTCAATTCTTTGCTACTTACTGATTAATCTTTTATTCTGAAATTAATATTTCAGACTGTGGTAACCTCTAAACCCAAAATTCATTCTGTTAGTTAGTATATTAAATAATTTCTTGGGCCCAGTCATTAAGGTAAGTAATCTACCACTACTCACCTTTGTCCAAGATCTCCTGTGAGGATCTGGGAATCTGAGGGGGTAGTGGAAACCAGGATTACCACTCCTTAGGCTGTTAAATAGTACACATTATTCCTGTCATCAGTTATTAACCTCTGTATTCACAACTCTGTATTACAATACACTATGTGTTGCATTGTTATAGTTTTGTAAATAATCTGTCAATATGTCAACTGCTCAGAAATTTGATGTTGAAATTTGGAATGGTACAGGAGACTTTAGTCTCTGACGCCAGAAAATGAGAGCCCTGTTAGTGCAACAGAGGTGTGCTGGTGCACTTGATGGCACCTGGGCTGTTGAGATTAGTGCCTATAGGAGACAAGAACTAACTGAGTTTGCCTGGAGCACCATTTTTCTGCACTTATCTGATAGTGTAATTAAAAAGGTAGGTGAAACTACCACTGTTGAGGCATTGTAGACAAAATTAGAAGCTCTATACTTAACCAAAACAATGCCAAATAAGTGCTATCTTTTAAGACAGTTCTATAACTTTAGGTTTGATCCCTCTAGCAGTCTAAAAGACAATATTGACAAATATACAAAACTAACTCAAAATCTAGCCAACTGTGATGAAGAGCTTTCTGATCAACAACATGTTGTTGGCCTATTAAATTTTCTAAGTGAGAAATATAGGGATGTTAGAAATGCCATAGAATATGGGAGAGAGGATCTTACTGTTGACATAATAATCACTACCTTAAGGAATAAAGATCTTGAGCTACAACTTGACTTTACTCACACTAAGGGTGGTGAGGGCCTACATATATTAAGAAAAACCTCATCGGGGTAAAAAGATCAATCAGTGCAATTTTACCTCCTCTAAAAGGGGAAAATATGTGAATCAGAAATTTAAGGATAAAAGTATGAATCAAGTGAAGAACAAGAACCAAGTCAGGAAATGCTATTACTGTGGCAAGACGGGACATCTAATAAAAAACTGTTTTAAGAAAATATCTGGCTCAAAAGAAAA